TATATTTCTGAGCATAATTTTCATTGAATGCTCAGCTCTGTTCACGCTCCACTGTTAAGATTTCTCCTTCTTAGCTAGCTGTGGTGAAATGCACTCATCGCAYTTTGWTMGCYTTTGACAGTTTACACGCCTGTCCGTTGTTGGACCTTCTCTATAAATATACGTTCTCTGTACATATGCTTATCGGTTCTATCAATATGAACGGATAAGCATATACATATGTATATTTGTCCTTTCTGGGTAAACGTATTTAAACAATCACAATTTAGCAACAATTAATAATTTTATTATACATTTTCAAGTACTACATAAGCATTCAATCGCAATTATTAATCCTAAAAGGAAATAGATGTAAATAATGCATTTTCATTTCAAATCCGTAACTAACACCGGGCAAACATAAAAATCAATTATTTAAACAGTTGAACGTTTGGGTTTTAATTACAAATAAAAAAGTTGTAATAAATGTGAGAATTAATAACTATTTTGTACTGCACTAGAGCACCGATACTGGGCAGCGGCATCCCGTCGTTTTGCTTTGGTGCGTACTTGTCGGGTAAAATTATTAATAGAAAATGTTTAAATAAACTAAAGTATTTAAGGTAATATAGTTATAAAGTAATAAACTTGTAAATTAGTACGTTGAGCGAGACGACTCCAATTGAGCTAATAAAGTAAAGCTAAACATACAGCCTTCTCCTGTAGATTGTACTTGTTTAAGGTGTGCGAGAGTGTTCCAATCTATCATGCTCTGCACTGGGTAATGGTGCTTCGGCACTGGATTTGGATGCATTGCTGTTGTCATCATCAGCTAGTATATTGCCGGCAGTTCCCCCATGTTCATCACCGCCTACAACACCACCGTCACTTTCAATTTCACGTTCAGCCTCATTCTCATTTAACATCTCCGTCAATACTTCGACCAAATTACGCGCCTCCTCCAACATTTGACGAGATGTATCCAATTCTGCCTCTAATCCCTCAATTCGTTCATGCAAATGTTGATTTTCTTTGAGCGTCTCTTCTAAAGCTTCACGCCGTTTCTCTGCTAAATGTTCCCAATATAGCTCACCGGGGTTCTCTTCGCTAGTAAGGTCTTCACCTGTTATTGTAGTTTTTTCTGCGCCGCTGACATTTTTTTGTGGGCTAGTCTGAGTTTCCGAAGCACGCGTCTCAACCTTTTTGCGTTTTGGTAAATCTGTGGAAGCCAAAGAGGCCTCAGTAGCGCTGTGAACGTAATTAATTTATGTAATAAATTAGTATCTATAATTACATTCTTTATAAAAACACTAATTATGTCTAATATACCACTACGATTAGGAATTAGTAGAAGAAACACGCAACTTACGCTTTGAGGCGGCTCAGTTTGTCAATTTGTGGGCGCCCAGCCAAGTTTTCTTTGTCACTGGCGATTCCACCTGGCTGCAGCACCTTAAAGGTCTTGCGCTGATTCTTTAAATTCTCCTAGTCAACATCAAAAACAAGCGGATGAAGTGTAGTGCAGTTAGCGACGTTTATATACATATACATAGGTCCCATGCCATAAAAACAAAATGCACCAAACAAATGTAAATAAAAAATGAAGACATTTAGTATAAATGAAAAAATGTGGAGGAGAAAAGTAAAATGGCTGTGAAATGAAGACGAAACATTATTAAATTTCAGTAATGCGTTAGTAGGCCTTTCAATTAATCGGCGTGGCTTCGCTTTATGTACATTTTTAGTATTTAGAAGTTACTTACCTGTTGTTCGGCTGCGGATTCAATTTGAATGAAGATCTTTTTCGTGGAGACATTAGACATTTTATCGACTGGTAATTAATACAATTTAATCAAATTTATTTGAACGCGCGTAAAAGACGCCGTTGCGTTGCTTTAAAATGAAATTGTTTTTAAAATATGGTGGTTGAACGAAATTCCTCTACTGCTCTTCTGATGCAAATGTCAAATAAAAGCGCCAAATAAGTAGACAACAGAAGTTAGCTGCACATTGACACAAGGTTGCATTATAAAGTCTTGAAAAAACTGATTCGGATATATGGAGTTTGAACTTTTGCGAATAATTATGCATTGTTTTGATCTTAATTGAAGGAGTAATGATTCCAAAACTAATTAATTTGAAAGCTTCTTATAGTGAAGAAAATTATTAAAACACATGGTCCCAAGTAACATAAAAAATTTGATTGACCTTGCACAAGTTAACATCAAAAACTTTCTTTTTTTGCAAATATTTGCGCTAATTTTAGGTCTTACTTCATAACGTAATATGGAAATTAGTATCAGCAAAATATATTAAGAATTTTATAAGTATGTTTCTGATATTGCCTTTAACTATTATAACATATCATTTTTGAAGCCGTTGTTCAACCATTTGTCAGCGCATGAGTTCTTCTCGTTGAACTCTAAATGCAACCTTGTGAGCTGATTTCAAAATGGCTATTGTGTGTGTAAGTAAAAACCGTCGTTAAACGAGAACGAAACGTTCTGTGCAAATTAAAATTGTAAATATTACAAACGGAATTAAATGTAGCTAATTAGAAATTTGTGCAATCAAAAGCATTTTAGCGTCTCCTCAAGGTGATCAAGTTTGAAAAAGGTTATACTAACGTCAATTTAGTAATTGGAGCCTATTTAACGCATATAATAGAAGCAACTAGCTGAGGGTGTGTATGTCCGTCCGTGGGACTAGGCTGGCGCAGCAGCAGATCGCTGCTTGTGACAGCTGCTGTCAGCGCGTGTCGTAGTCGTCGCTGCTCACGTTTGTTAATGTGCCATGCAATTAGATTTTTAGACGCTGAATTTGAAAAAGTCAACTGTGAGAAAACTAAGTTTAGTTGTAAATTGTAGTTGCAAACAGGTGGAGTTTTTTTTTGACAATCATAAGTTTCATTTAAATTCGATATATTTTAATGGAACCGTTTGGACACTTAAATTCGAGTACAAATAATAATTTCAAAAACGTTAACCATATACCAATTGGCGGAGGTAAAATAGAAGCCCCTACACAAACACAAAGAGGACTTTGTGAGCACGACGCAATACATCCACGACTTCTAAAAAAACATCAAAACGAGGGAGTGAAATGTTTGAGCTGTGGACAAGTATTTGAATCAACTTCTTCGCATGAAATTTTTGAACATTACGCAAACGTTGCGCATAATAATTGCATAGGAAAGTGCTATTATTGCGGTGGTAAAGTTCATCAATATCAACATTTTAAGGATATTCACACATATCATAGTTGTACCCGTTCGATTGGGAATATAGACAAATAATAGTTTTAAGGAACGAAATATGGATTCGGAAAATGTTGATACCTATTTTATCGCCGAGCGTTTGGAAAGTGGCAGTGGAGATTCGGGCGAATCGGAATGCTCGGATAATGGTGGTGGCATCGATGATGATTCTAGTAGTTTGAGTTCGCGTACCACTGGTGGTAATGGTTATGGCAAACGTTGGTCTCGAGCTGAGGATAATCTTTTAAAAGGGTTGGTGGGACAATATGGCGATCAGTGGGAGCTGATTGCACCACAGTTTAAAGATCGTACCGAACAGCAAGTACAACAGCGTTGGGCTAAGGTATTAAATCCAGAATTAATTAAGGGTCCTTGGACAAAAGAAGAGGATGAAAAAGTTGTTGAACTAGTACGACGATTCGGTCCAAAAAAGTGGACATTGATTTCGCGATACTTAAATGGTCGTATTGGTAAACAATGCCGTGAACGTTGGCATAATCATCTCAATCCTAATATTAAGAAAACTGCATGGACGGAAGAGGAGGATCGTATAATCTTTAATGCTCATATGGAATGGGGCAATCAGTGGGCGAAAATAGCTAAGCTACTACCAGGACGTACAGATAATGCCATAAAAAACCACTGGAACTCCACCATGAGACGCAAATACGATCCACATCGCTTAAGAGTTCTAGGACGCCTATGTCCTGATTTACAAGATTCTCGATCAAATCTGAAAGCTCTGATAAAAGCGAGTGTCGGTGCACCTACACAACCGCAAGTACAATCACAAGCACCTGCTCCAACACTGTCCTTGTCGGCACAAATATTACAGCGTCCTCAAATGCGACAGCAATCCGAACAGAGCCATGAGCAGCCGAGTACATCGGCCGTCGCGGCAATGCAAATATCAGCACAGCAACAAGCCGCTAAGCCACCACCTACACGCCCGCCACCAAATATATTGAAGCGAGCGCGTCCGCAAACAGAACAACAACAACACTTAGAAATGTGCACAACAAATACAATGTCAACAGTTGGCTTCGATAATATGGGTGTAATTTCCAGTCAGTGGTTAAAATCGGAAGCGAAATTGCCAGAGTCACCGGTTATGACACCCATAAAACCCTTACCATTTTCCCCATCACAATTTCTCAATTCACCATGTCTACCATCGTTTGAAGACATAAGCTTACGTGCCAGTACGCCTGTACACAAAGGTAGTGGGCGACCCGGAGTAGAAATCAAAAAGGAGTTGGAAAGTTCATCAATTGAAACGCCACAAAAAAGTACATAAGTTTTAATTAATATATTTTTAAATAAACAATTCAAATGAAATTCACACTATGTCTTACAGGTATTTTAGGTCCACGTACGCCAACACCTTTCAAGGATGCTCTAGCCGCGCTAGGGAAGAAGCGACGTTACATTCCACCAAGTCCTTCCTCCTTAGTCGAGGATTTGGCCGAAATAATTCAGGAAGAACAAGTAAATGACTCAAATAACATGATTGTTAAAAAGGAGAATATCTCATCGGATACAGACTTGACTAATGACGGATCTAGAAGTACCGTTGGCGCTTGTGGTTCCACAACACAACCAACAAAGAAGGCACGAAAGTCATTGATCACCAGCTGGGGTGAAAATGTTATGCCCAGCATGGGTGCCAAACATGAAAAGAAACCATTACCTTACGAAACTGAGACTCCGAGTAAATTTCTTACATCCAACGAGTCAATTGCTTTCTCACCCACAACTATAATTATGAAAGATACCTTATGCAGTGAGGCTGACCTACTACTTGAAACCAATGAAGAAGCCAAAAAAGAAAATAGTCCACAACAGCGACAACGTCAACAACAACAGAGTCAAAATGTATTGTCGATATTGCCGCCGCGTGAACGGAATGGACAACAATATTTGGATCCCAAATGGGAGCGTTTAGCATGCGGCCAAACCAAGGATCAACAATTCATGGTGCAACAAGCGCATGCGTGCTTAAAGAATCTGTCGCTAATGCCGCGCTCGCTGAACTTTGAGAAGCAAAAATGACGTGAGCACAAAGCGAAAACTCTTCGAGGCAATTTATCAAACATAATTGTTGATTAAGAAAAATACCATACATGCATGCACATACATGTGTACATACATTATTTAATGTGAGTACACACAGATATTTACGAGATTTGCTTATTTTTTAAATTATTGTTTCTATGCTACGATTGTTATCGTGTTAATTATTATTATTTTTGTACAATATACATACATAAAGTACACGCACATAAGGTTGGTGGTGGCATGCTTATGCCACTCTCATACATTTTTATTTATGACAAAAGGGTATATTATTTGTAAAAAGGCATTTGCAGCCGTTGCACAGCGATAGAAAGAAGAAATATAATATAGAAATTAAGTCCAAAGAAGTTTGAGAAGTTTATCAGTACTCGATGCATCTCTTAAAATGGTGTTTGCATGTATTTTTACATATTTGTATGTATATACATACAGGTATGCGTCAGCAATTTTACATCGTGTATCTATGTGTAAGTTATAAATATAAATTGGCTAGTAAGCAAAATAACAAACCATTATTTAAGTTTGTAAATGATGAAATGTTTTTTTATTTTATATATAAAGTAAGAAAAAATGTTATAAATTAGCAGTAAAAACCCGGTGCACTCCTATCATGTAATCCAAGAACTTAAATTATTAACAATACGTAAACGAATATTGTACCTACTCAAAACGAGAACACAAAGCGTATCTGAACTTTTTTATCAAATAAATATAAGATTTAAAGAGATAAAATCCAAATGTGTAATGATTCTTAATTCTGAAAAATGGAATTTTGCAGGCGAGTGAAGAATCTGTCATCGAATTTATGAATATACGAATCTGCACAATGTAATTACTGCAGCACGGCATATACACTGAATCGGTTGAT